CTGCTGCTGGCGCCGCTGGGGGGGTCGGCGGGCCTGGCCGGGGAGCCGCCCGGCTCCTGTGAGTACAAGACGCTGCTGGTGAGCGGGCTGAGCGCGGCCCTGCCCGACCAGCTGCTGGAGGACGGCCTGTTCCGCCTCTTCCAGCGCTTCGCGGGGGGGGGCGCCGGGGACATCAGTGTCAAACTCTCCCACACGCCCGAGCTCGGCCGCGTCGCCTACGTCAACTTCCGACACCCCGGGGACGCCCGCGACGCCCGCCGGCACGCCCGGGCTCGGCAGCTGCTCCTTTACGACCGGCCCCTCAAGGTGGAGCCGGTGTATCTGCGCGGGGGCCGGAGGAGCCGCACGCCGCCCCCCGCGCCCTCTCCGGAGCCCCTGGGGTACCTGCCGCCCATCCACAGCACCTATCAGTACAAGCAGAGATCGCTCTCTCCCGTCACCAGCCCCCTGCTGCGGGAGCCGCGGCCCAGGCACGCTCATGCCGCCGCCGCCGCCTTCGCTTTGGAAGCGGCCGCCATCGGGCTCTCCCGGGAGCGGGAGAGGGCCCTGGATTACTACGGGCTGTACGATGAGCGCGGACGCCCTTACAGTTACCCCATCGTGGCTGAGGAAGACCTGATGCCGGAGGACGATCAGAGAGCCACCCGCAACCTCTTCATCGGCAACCTGGACCACAACGTCTCGGAGGTGGAGCTGAGACGGGCCTTTGAGAAGTACGGCATCATCGAAGAAGTGGTGATCAAGCGCCCTGCCCGGGGCCAAGGCGGGGCTTACGCTTTCCTCAAGTTCCAAAACTTGGACATGGCGCATCGAGCCAAGGTCGCCATGTCGGGCCGCGTTGTCGGCAGGAACCCTATCAAAATTGGCTACGGGAAAGCCAACCCTACTACCAGGCTGTGGGTGGGTGGTCTTGGTCCAAGTACTTCCTTGGCTGCCCTGGCGAGGGAGTTTGACCGCTTTGGCAGCATCAGGACTATTGACTACGTGAAGGGAGACAGCTTCGCTTATATCCAGTATGAAAGCTTGGATGCTGCCCAGGCTGCCTGCGCTCAGATGAGGGGCTTCCCTTTGGGCGGACCGGAGAGGAGACTCCGAGTGGATTTTGCCAAAGCAGAAGAGACGAGATACCCGCAGCAGTACCAGCCTGCACCGCTCCCCGTGCACTATGAACTGCTAGCTGACGGGTACAGCAGACACAGAAGCCTAGAGCAAGACTTGAGGGTGCGAGATAGGACTCCTCCACATCTCCTGTACTCAGACAGAGACAGGAGCTTTGCAGAGGCAGACTGGGCCAGCCCTGCCAAAAATGCCGAACGCAGAAACAACTTGGAAAGCTACAGCCGATCAGTGCGTAGCCGGAGCGGAGAGCGCTGGGCCAGCGACAGCGATCGCAGCGTGCCCAAACTGTGGGAAGAGAGGCGGAAACGCCGGAGTCTTTCCAGTGACCGTGGGAGGACTACTCACTCGCCTTACGAGGACAGAAGCAGGACAAAGGCCAGTGGGCCAGCTTTAGACCGCAGCCCAGACAGGGCTCGCAAGGAGAATCACACTACAGAATCCGGAGCTGAGAAAGAGCAGAGTAACTCCCTTCAGAACAATCGTCATGCGACTGAGGAGAAGCCCCATCGTGAGGCATCCGATGCTCCCCAGCCTAAAAAAAGGGACAGCGAACGCAATCATCGAACTGGTGAATCGGAATCAAAAACTCACGAGGAGCCAAAATCTGAGACCAAAAAGCTAAAGAATTTATCAGAATACGCTCAGACGCTGCAGCTTGCTTGGAATGGGCTTCTTGTGCTAAAAAACAGCTGCTTCCCCACCTCTATGCACATCCTGGAGGGAGACCTCGGTGTCATCAACGGACTCCTTAAAGACCATTCATCCGGCGGGAAGTTAACGCAGCTCAAAATTGCTCAGAGACTTCGGCTCGACCAGCCCAAGCTGGATGAAGTAACTCGCCGTATCAAACAAGGCAGCCCCAACGGCTACGCTGTGCTCCTGGCGACCCAGTCCACCCCGGCAGGGGCCGAGGGGACCTTCCCTGTTGTAGAGCCTGGCTTGCAGCGACGGCTTCTCAGGAATCTGGTCTCCTACTTGAAACAGAAGCAGGCTGCTGGGGTTATCAGCCTGCCCGTGGGAGGGGCGAAGGGCAGAGACAGCACAGGCATGCTTTACGCGTTCCCTCCCTGTGAATTCTCTCAGCAGTACCTCCAGTCAGCACTAAGGACATTGGGAAAGTTAGAAGAAGAACATATGGTGATAGTTATAGTCAAAGACACTGCCTAGCCCACACTGTCTTTTCAGATTCCATGTTTTCTTTGTGTGTCACACAACCCAGTTGTTTTTAAGGCCGATCATTTTGGTGGAGGCTCAAAACACCTCGACCAAAGTGGTAAGATTTTTAGTTTCTAATTAATTTTAATACCATTTAAATAGAGCCCATTTTATTCGTTTTTAATATGTGACACTGTCCGCTGTTGTTCTGTATTTTTATTTTTTAACTGTATGAAAAGTTGTCAGTAAAGCCTTGTTCACTGATGGATTTCTAAACTTGTGCGGTATCCTAGTTTTTATGGCCCAGGAAGGGCTGGTTCCCTGTGCTGTCAAGAGCTGGAAGGTGATGGTCCCAACCCGTTTCAGTTTCTCAGACCCCAGCCTCCTGCACCTCCTCCGTCTCTTTAGATGTGTCCTGCAAGGTGGGAGGGGGAAGGGAGGGGGGGTCCTTCTTTGTGCTGTATGAGAGACTGAAAGGTTGGTTCTGTATCTTTTTTTTTTTTTTTTGTCCTGTTTGCTTTTTATTTCATAAATTTGAGTCTGAATGCATTGCTGTTGATGCTCTATTTGAGGATAGAAGCTTCCCAGGAAGCCAGCTACGAAGGAAGCAAATCCTGATCAAGAATAGAAGTGGTTTTTATACACAACAAAAAAAATTACAGTTAATACTTGGTGAAAAGTTTGTTACAAAGGAGTCAACTGTATTCAATTCTGTGAGGTCTGAGAGCACCCGATACATGTCTCAGTCAGATAGAAGTTCTTGGGTAAAACAAAAATGAGGCTTGACGTTCCCGTTTTTTATCAAAGGAGAAAAAAAAAAAACAAGCAGGAGAAAAAAAAAAAAAGTCATGTAAGGGGGAACCCTCTTGGGCCTGTGTTAGATGTAGACAAGCAAATACAGGGCACAAAGGGTTTTGGCAAACTGTAGGTGCCCGTTTGTGTAGTCGACCATGTTGCACTATCTGAAATCCTTTATTGAAAGATAAATGGCAAACTTGTTTTTGCTAAAGTTGAAACTTGTTTGCAGGCTTACAAAAAAAGAGATAAATGTGTCTGGCTGTCTGAAAATGTGTTATGTTACTGCAAGTAACCTGTCTATGACTGTAGGAAACTCTGGAGATCAAAATTTGAAATTTAAGATGGCATGGTTCCGTCACCTTTTCTATCTATCTGTGGTATGAGACAGTTGTTCAGGAGAGAAACCAGGACATCTGCACCTCTGGTTGCTCCGTAACGTTAAGGATGCGGTAACTAGTTTAAATTTGAGTTAAAATCCACACTGTTCAGTTTGGGGATATTTTTATTTTTTAAAATTATGCCTGTAGATTTTAGAAGGCTTACAGAAAATTGTGTGGGATTAAAAACACTAAATTTAAAAGTTTCTTTAAATTCGCAGGTGGGGTTTTTTTGTTGTTGTTTTGGTGGTAAGCAAGTGAACAAAATCCTGGGCGAACCAGAGTCTTTCTGGCACCCGTCTCTGTGACCGAGCAGACTCACTTGCTGACAGCTGCCAAGGCCCTTTTAAAACTGTGCTCTCAGGTATGATTGGTATCAAAACCTATATAGCAGGGAGCATAACTCAGTCTAATGATGCTTTTCTTTTTTATTTTTTTTAACCCTGCAGTTTCACAGTAGGGACATCATCAGCTGATGATGTATGAGCGGTTGCTTAATTTAATAATGTATTGATATCAACAAGTATGGGTTGGTTTGTTGGTTTTGTTTTTTTGGTTGGTTTTTTTTTAACATTTAATACTGTGATTATATTAAAAGTAAATCTAATGAGTTAGTGTGATCATGAGGGGGTTAGTATTTCACTTGATGATGCATCTTCTGTACCCCAGAAAACATAATTCTGTCCGTAAGGGCCCGAGTACAGCTACAAGGCCGCGGAGGGTTTTGTCCATGGTGCGCGGGCACGGTTCAGTGAGAGGTGAGCTGGCTTGTCTGCTGGGAGCAGCAGGGCTCTGGGAAAGCCGATTTATGCTGTGGGAGCAGAGGAGCAACTCTGCTGCTCCCAGCAGCCAAGCCGTGTCTCCAGACTCACTGCACTGGGTTGCACTGGGCAGCGCAGCGGTACGCTTCATGACACCACGGCTGCATGGCGTAGGGGAGCTGGACTGCCCCTGGTTTTACACGGTTACAGGGACGCTGACTTTTAACCTTGTGACCGAGTCCCCAATGCTGTTGTAATGTAGACAGTGCCAAATGTCAACAATTGTAACCGT